GTTATTTAATAATTATATCAATGTACCATAAACTTACAGGAAAGGGTCCTGGCCATACAAACACAGCCAGGGGAAATAAAGAATGAGGGAAGATGGGCGACCGTGACGGAGTTCGAAATCAGGACCTCTAAGTGGCTCATTCGACAACCTACTTTACCATTCGAACACCATCACCCCTGCGTTCAGATGACTAGCAAAACTAGCACATCAAAACTACATCCAGGAGTAGCGTTCACTCAGTTTAGATACTTATCTATACATTTTCATACACGTCCGAATACAGACTGAGTCAAACAAATCATGGTACAATAACCACAACAACAATAACAGCAAAAACGTTCCATGATTTACATGTGAGCAGAACACTGCCAGGTTATTCAGGTCAAGGCAGGTGAATTTTCTTGAGGAATCCACAACCGGAGCCTTCGGCTAGCCAAAGCCTAATGTGCAAGGCACCGGGCGGTGTGCGAAAACCGCAACTCATTGAGGGCCCAGTGTCCAGTTCAGTGGATCGTGCGCCCTTTGGACGGGGCCAAACGTCCAAGGTGCCCAATATACCTCCATGCTCAATCGAGCCGGCGATCACGACTGCCACAACCGGGAAGGTGTGTGTGGTTCGTACACCTCCTAATTCTTCATTTGGAATCAGAGTTTTTGCCCAACTCCCCTTGGTGAACTACCAGTGGTCCACCAACCCGGTTATAGCCCCGGATGTCGGCTTTTCGTCCTCCTCCACTCCAAGAGAAGGCAGTGAGTAGGACTTCCTCAGCAGAGACTATCTGGGACGCTTGGTCGTGTGGGAGTATTTCACGAGGTGCAAGGGGATGGTGACCAACCGCAATCCTAGACACCCACCCCCCACCATACTGAGGCTTTCGGAGGATTTGGATTTTTGCTGTACCTGTTTTAACCGTTGCATCCTGTCAAAGTTGCATAATGAATGACACTGAGAACCAAAAATGTATGATAGAGCTATTTTGGAATCAGTTTGACTCAAACTGCATCTTTTTAGATTTTGTATCTTCACTGTCTAATATGCATCTCAAATGGAGTGATCGTATCATTTTGTGAGTTTATTTTCCAAATTTTACAGCTCATTTACTCGGTTCGTGGTTCACAGTCACTGGCGGAGATAAACTCTCATGATTTCTCGAGCACGCAATCATGGAAAAATGAGGTACCAAAATTGTTCGGTCGCACAATTCACTGTATCTATCGTTTTAACTGGCCACTACCGTTCGATTCGACCACAATGGAATATGTCATTTCTGGTTCAAAAGAGCTCACCCTACCCCTTATGCCAAGTCATCCGTCCGTGGTAGCACAGGCTCGACTGTACGCGGCATTGGCCCCGAGACTCGGAGCATCGGACTGTATGATTTTGCCTATGCGTCCATGCCACCAACCGGTACTCAAAGATGAAGCGAAAACCGCTTGCCATTTTTGTACATTCACAAATTCGACAGATCTGTACAATTTGACGGCCAGTTTAAGTTTTGATCCATTTTTCCGGGACATTCGGGCTCCCGGTCAACCGACTGGAGATACGGTTAGCCCGACTGTTCCCGCTAGTGGTAAATTGCAGCGATCTGCCTCGACTATGTGCTGTTGGCAGGATGAGCAATCGGATCATGCCAGTGAGTCGGAGCAAATACGTCCGGAAACTGTGCACGGATTCCGACGGACCGGAATGAATTCGGACCGAACCACCACACCACAAACCATACACAGTCATCTACGAACCTACATCACATACGATTGGCTACAGGCACGTCGTATACTAAGCCTGTTGTTTCGACTAGTTACAGTCAACGGTATGTTATATTTCTGACCGGGTTTTTCTTACATGAATGTAGAGGCGGATTTGATTTAATTAGACAGTGAAATTTGTCTTGTACAGAGCAGCCGAAGCGTGAGCGAAAAAGTTAGGATCCTCAAATACCGTGACTAAAATGAGTTCGATGGGATGACCGATGTAAGCTTGTAATGATAGTTCGCGTACGTGTAGGCATAGATCCATCAGCTCGCAGATATATTTTTTATCTATCGTTCTTCTAGAAGCTCCTTCAGTGTTTCTCTGGCCAAATTGAGTTTGATGGAGGTGAATAGCGCGGTAACGTCGAAGGATATCATTGTTTCATCTGCATCAATATTTACATCCTTCAATTTTTCTAGGAACTTTTTGGCGTTATTGATGGAGTGTTCGTAGCCGGCGATAAGAGGTTTGAGTCTTCTCCACAATTCGTTAGCCAGTTTGTAGGTTGGTTTACCGGGAAGCGAGACTATCGGTAGAAGTGGCACATTATTTTTGTGTATTTTTGGTAGTCCGTAGAATTAAGCCGTGTTTGAGTCGTTTGCTTCCATTCTCTAGTGTTCTTCTTTGTTAATTTGGTGTAACTGGTCCAGCCGTTTCAGCATTGCGTTGATTTTGCTGGCGACTTTCGAAGTTACATCTATGTTCAATTTGCGATAGGTAGTTTGTTGTGTCTTGGAGTTATTCGTTTTCCTTTCTGATGTAGTCTGTTTTGTCCATTACCACGGTCACTCTTCCTATGTCCGCTCGGAGGATGGTGATGCTCTTGTCGTTTCCCAGTGTTTTCATTGCTTTCTCCTTGGTTTTCGACAGTGCACTGAACGGTTTGTTTCGGGTCATGATTGGAACGATGGTTTGTCGTATTTCTTGTTTGGTGTTATCGGATAACCCGGTGACCTTTAGGGCATGTTCTAATTCCGATAAGTATTCTTTCTTTGTCGCGTCTTTTGCATTGAAATCAAGTCCTCTGGTGAGAACTTTTTTTTCTTCGTTTGATCCTCACGATGTTGTCGTATTTGTGTAGACGTCTATGAGCGTCGGTGATCATCATTCTGACCATGCTTCTATCATATCGCATTGCTATTTTCCAGGCTTCTGGGTGGTTGACTAGTGGTCGATGACTAACGCTGGACGGGAGGATGTCGTTTTGTAAGAACTCCTGTGGAAAATATAGCTGCTCGCGAGTTGAAGCTTGACAACAAGCGCTCGCCCAGTTACTGCATTGAGAATGTCAACTCGATTGGTGATGAAACGTTTGCAATACAATTGCCAAG